CCTAATATAAAGTAAAGTGATTTCTGTTCTAGTTTATCCAGCATCGTTATGAGTTTGGACAGGGAAAAGCAAAAGCATCTTTCATGTCAGCTCAGTCCAGTCATCCAGCAGGTAGACCAGAAGCATCAATTCTACATTTTGAGTTCCTGGTCATATGTTCTTATCATACCCTACCTAATGATTAATGGCACAGTCTTTGGAATTGCATAGACTGGGGTTTGAATTAAAGAAAAATTGCTCAAGTTTCTTCATCTCTTTGAGCACCTTGTTTCATTTATAAATGCGTGTAACGACACTCTCATGAAATTTTCCTAAAAGATAAATGAAATCATGTAAGAGAGGGCTAGCACATGGCATCAGGTTCTACAGTCCACTTATTATCTGGCACTTCCTGTGTTACCATTATTATATCAGCTCGGGCTCTGCTAAGGGCGCCAAACAATCTGGTTAGGTTTCTTTTTAACTCTCTAAAGGGTAAATCTTCCTCTTCATCTTCAGGAGAGCATTCTACTGAGCTTGTTTGCAAATGCTTTCTCATGTGTGTCACGTATTGTTATCTTTCATTGTTGATTCTGTCTAGAATAAAAAGGGTCTCTCCATACCTGGTATCTGACAACTGAAGAAGTGTGCTCAACTCTTGGCCATGATATTATCCTTTCTAAGATTTGAGTGATCAACAGATGTATCTTTGGGTGCAATTTCTGGAGTCTTGCAGCCATTGGACAAGGATAGCTATACTTCGCTGAGGTTGTTTCTTGTCATACCTCAATAGTCTCTTCTCTAATACTCTAAACTGAGACAGCACACACAAGATAAATACACTCTACTACCACCACCGTCACCACCACCACAAATGAACAAATGATTTCTCTCCATTTCCACTGATAAGTGGTATCATTAATTATTTGAGATTCGAATATGGAATATGTCATTCCAGTTCTCCACTACTATGAGAAATTGCATCTAGAAGAATAAGAAAATGGAAGATATTATAGTAGTAAAGAAATAGAAAAAGAAAAATAAATAAAATTTAAAAATTAGAAAAGAAATAGAGAAAGAAAGAAGCAAAACATTTAAGGGACACAAAAATAGAAATCTGGTTAGGTTTCTTTTTAACTCTCTAAAGGGTAAATCTTCCTCTTCATCTTCAGGAGAGCATTCTACTGAGCTTGTTTGCAAATGCTTTCTCATGTGTGTCACGTATTGTTATCTTTCATTGTTGATTCTGTCTAGAATAAAAAGGGTCTCTCCATACCTGGTATCTGACAACTGAAGAAGTGTGCTCAACTCTTGGCCATGATATTATCCTTTCTAAGATTTGAGTGATCAACAGATGTATCTTTGGGTGCAATTTCTGGAGTCTTGCAGCCATTGGACAAGGATAGCTATACTTCGCTGAGGTTGTTTCTTGTCATACCTCAATAGTCTCTTCTCTAATACTCTAAACTGAGACAGCACACACAAGATAAATACACTCTACTACCACCACCGTCACCACCACCACAAATGAACAAATGATTTCTCTCCATTTCCACTGATAAGTGGTATCATTAATTATTTGAGATTCGAATATGGAATATGTCATTCCAGTTCTCCACTACTATGAGAAATTGCATCTAGAAGAATAAGAAAATGGAAGATATTATAGTAGTAAAGAAATAGAAAAAGAAAAATAAATAAAATTTAAAAATTAGAAAAGAAATAGAGAAAGAAAGAAGCAAAACATTTAAGGGACACAAAAATAGAAAATTATCTTGTGATGATAATGTATATGGTACTAACTTTGACTGGACTAATATACAGTGTGTTATTAGTTCACCCTCCACACATGCCTAGTCTATTCTGTCATCACTCTTCTGGTCATCAATTTCTCTGTTGAGAAAAAGTGCTTCCCCTCTTTTCCAGTTTCCCATGTTTCTGAATTAATTTACATTAGCCCCACCATATACTTTTCTCAGACAAAAATCTTCATATTTAACTCATGCCATCCTTCCTGGATTCAGCACCCCTCAGAAGAAGGCTTATACTTAGCTCATGGAATTCATCCACTTTCATTAATATGGCTCCTGTTAAGCTGAAATTACATAATTTCTGTGTGTATGCCTGTTCTGATATTTGTAACCAGAAGCTTATGAAAGGTAAGACCTGCTTCCTTGCTGTGTTCTCTGACTTCTCTCTGGACAGAAATACCTAGTGCAGGGCTTTGTGCACACTAGCAATGACTATTGTTCACTATGTTGTACATACATCAATGCTAGTATTGTTTAAAGTTTGGACTACTGAGGAGGTTTTTCTCTAGATGCTAATTTATGCTAATAAAATAAAAATCAAACAAGTTTTATTTGTTGTTGTAAAGGGATTTTGCCCTTTAGCGACTCGTTGTAATGTGAACCTCATTGCCATCTGGGTATTTGCAGCAATCAAATGGGAATTCAGAACTTCCTTCCAACCAAATACTGAAGTGAGGGAAGTCATCAACATGAATTAATTATCAGCCAGCCAGGAAAAGACTGGAGGGCAAAATTATTATTCTTAAGGCAAAGCAAAATGTAAAACAGATCGGACTTCAAAATTTGGTAATTTCATAACTAAAATAGTAAAATACTAAAGATATAAAATGGAAACTGAACCAATAGAATATGCTATGAAAGTCACTGATGTGTAGCAATAAAGCCTAAATTCTAGCATTAAACTGCAGTGAAGACGGTGTGCTCGGCTGGACCAACTACTATCACGTGGTTTAGGGGATGCCATTTGCCATTGTATGCCCACAGCTGACATCATTAACAGACGACAGCAGTATTGTTCTCCCTTCTTGACACACAGAGGTTCAGGATTCTTTCCCGCCAGACGTTAGCCATAGATCGAATTTTCATATGTGATAGTTTGGATTATCATTCAGCCCCTCTCTCTCCCTCTACAGGCAGAGACCATTTCCCGATCTCACTGATACTGAACTTGAACATATCATTCGGTGGAAACAACTGCAACTGGAGGTAATATGAGGAGAGGCCTTCAATGTGCTATGTGACTTGGCTTATGGCTCTTTTGCTTTGGTATCTATCATGAGAAGAACATGCCCCCAGTACCACTGGGTCTTTAGCCAGGGCCTCAAAACAAATGCACATGGAGCACCCCCGAACCCAACCTGCAGGCTGAAGCAGAACACATGGAATATGTGTAAGAATGAGTTCTTGGTGTGGTAAGTCACTGAGTTTTAAGGCTCATTTTTAGATGAAACTTAATTTTTATTCCTGCCCTAAAACTGGAAGAGGATAGGAAGTGACCAGGATAAAGCAGACATATCTTTTAGAATAAAGAGCCACCACAGTACAGAAACATGAGGACACAAAATTCTATCAGGCATAAAGGAAATAAAAAATAAGAAAATAAAAGCCTAGGCATTAAACATCCATCAAATTGTTTGACCTCAGGCAAGCAAACCATTTTTAAAAGGTTGGAAAAATAGCCTGGGTCACCTACTCTTGAGGAAAAAGCCAAGGAAGAGGACAAATTCAGATGTCAAACTTCTGCTAAGGTTGACTCCACAGGTCAGCCGAGTAAGCTGCCACCCACAGACAGGATTCTAAACATTTTAGGAAAACCATTCCCACCCCTGTCAGGTTAAAGTGAAAACTCTTCATGTCCTTTAGCTCAGTGCTCACCAAGAAAATTAGAGATGAATGTAGCTAAAATGTCAGTCAAAGTAAGGCTGTGGCACCTTGCTTCGTAGCACCTCTCCAAGTGCTTCACATATACAAAGCATTCAATGAATATTTTTCTAATGAATAAATGAACATGCACATAAACAAATGTAAAAATACACATGAGGGGTCTTCAAAAAGTTCATGGAGAATGCATTTATGAAAAAAAATCTATGCATAGATTTCAAACTGTTTTGCACCAAAATAAACTCATGAATTCCAGTTTTCCACAAACTTTCTGAAGTCCCCTTGTATCTTTCCATTGATCTGACTTGGCAGTTTATGTTTCAGTGTATTAACTGACGAGGATGTCATAAGGAAAAACACAAATAGTAGTGAAGTTTAAATTCTGCCAATTTTCCATTCATTCATTCATTCATTCAACTGATACGAAAATTGAATGCCTGCTAGATACAAGGCAGATTTATGGTAGTAGAAATCAAACAGATGATGCCCCTGCCTTCAGGAAGCTGATGATAATTTAAAGAAAGAGCTTCAACACACATTCAAGCATTCACACGGGAGTAAAACAGAAAACGAACAGGGAAGGATGAATATAAGTGAACACTTTTTTTTTGAGAGAGATTTTCTTTTTTTCCCTATAGAGCATATGCACTCACTGAAGAGACAGAGAAACAGAAAGTGAGAAATCACCCACCCCTCAGGGAGCATGGCCATGCCACAATCCCTTCTCCTCCATTTTTCTTTCAGGATTTTGGGCATAGATGCACATATGCCCAGCGTAAGTTTCAAGCTGGGTCTGGGACTCGAACTGCAGTCAGCTATGTGCGAGTCCAGCCCCTTAACCACTATGCCACCCGCTGGCCCCAGTGGGTACACATTTTAAGTCAAAGGATCAGAGAAGGTCTCTCAAACACATATTCCCCAGGGGCCCCACATATGTGAAATGGAAAATAAGCATATACAGAGATAACATTTTTCACAGAACTCAGCACCAGAAAAGATGTATAATGATTTAATGTATGAATAATAATTTTAAAAATTAATAAAAACTAAATAAATTTTTAAAATGAATGAAATGAGAGAAAGGGAAGAAACATCTGCAAAAAAAGAAAAAGAAATGCAGCAGCAGATAAGCACGTGTGCCCGTGCAATGAGCTGAAGTCCCTTTGTTTTGGCAGCTAGGCCCGAGGACCCCTTCTCTCCCCTGGAAGCTCCCCAAAGCATTTTTTCCTTTGTGCTAACACCCAACTAATCACAACGATAAAAATTTCAAAACTCAATTACTATTACGTAAATCAGCTTTTTGTAAAATAAGTGGGCATTCAAACATACCAAGCAAATAATCAGTATAAGAAGACAAAAGATCCACGGTGGCAAATTCAGGGATGTTTGGTAATGCCATTTGGTTAACTTTATCAGTTCTAGCATTCTTCTTGCCAATAAGTAGGTTAACTGCCAGCACAGCATCACTGACCTACAATTAAGGCACAAATTAGAATTCATAAATGTAAGCTTTCTGATTCATAGACTATCCATTGGATAAATAAAGTGAAAAGAGAATTCATAATACTCAATATACATTGGGGAAAAAAATAGAGACAACCTAAAAAAAAAATATGTGAACCCTGACATGTATAATATATCATAATTAAACAAATCATTTAGCATTGACAATTTAATGAATGTACATCATCTTAAATAAGCTACCTTACCTGGCTGTGATAGATATTTGCCAAAATGTCAAGTGTGCTCACATATGTATCTGCCAGCATTGTCATAAAAGAAAAGCTGAAACAAACAGGGTCAGGTCCAGCCAATAGAGATTAAAAACATTACTCACAGAAAGAGTATTTCTAATCTTCCCAAGAAACGTAATTGGCACAAATCCCAAAAAATGTAAACTTTTCCCTTCTCTTGTATAGCTATTATACATGTGTCACCTTAACAGCTGATAAGTGGAGAATACAGATACGACAGTATAATGAAAGATTAAACAAAAATTGCACAGACCTGTGCAGCAGCTCTTATCGCAATCCAGGCCAATGAATTGTACATTTCAAATTTATTTGCTGCTGCTTCTTTAGTAGAACTAAGTCTTCTGAGAAGAGGCTAAAAAGATGACAAGTGGATTATTATAAAGATGAAGATAACACAGTTTCATCATAAATGTTCTCATCTTCTAAAGATGACATTTTAGTGGAATACTATATGGTCATTAAGATTAATAATATATCTATTGACATGAAAATATATTTAAAATATGTTCAGGAAATAACTGTATGTTATAAAATAGTATACAAAGTAGCATCCCACTTTAAAATATGTGGGGTTATGGCCAATGGGTAGCTTGGTGGTTAAGGTGGTGGACACCCACATAGCTGGCAGCTTCAAGTCCTGGATCTGGTGCCTTTCTTTCTCACTTTCTCTTTCTCTCTCTCTGGTCAAATTAAAAAATAAATAATAATAATAATAAAATAAATAATTCTAAAAAATTAAAAATAAAATAAAATGTGAGGGATCAAAACACACAAATATTCCCTGTCCATAAAAGCAGAGAAAAATTACTAACAATGGTTATCTTAAGTATAAAGGGAACTTAAATTTTTTTTATCATTTCTTCTATTTTCTATACTCAGATTGCATTATTTAGATAATAAATTAACAAAAATTGCAATTTAAGTCAAATGCCTTTTTTAGTTGTTTTTTGTTTGTGTGTTTGCTTTTGTTTTGTTTCATTTTTGTTTTTGGTCATGGGGTGCATGCACTCTCTGGAGTGAGACAGACAGAAACACAGAGAGAAAAAGTGTGAAATCATAGCCCAGGGGGAATAGCCACACAGTCCCTTCTCCTCCAATCTCCTCTCAGGATTTCAGGCACACATGCTCACGTGCCTAGCATAATTTTCAAGCCACTGGGTTCAGGGTTTGAATTTGTGAGAATCTAGCACCTTAAGCACCACACCACCTGCTGGCCTCAAAATGCCTTTTTAATAAAGAAACTATAGGGGGACCAGCAGTTAGTGTAATGGCTATGTCGCTGGACTCCCACATAGTCGACTGCATTTCAAGTCCCAGACCCAGTGGCTTAAACTCACACCGGCATGTGTGCGTGTGTGCCCAAGATCCTGAGAGGAGAATGGAGGAGAAGGGATTGCGGCGTGGCCTCCCGCCCGGGAGCGATTTCTCACTTTCTGTCTCTCTGTCTCTCTCTGTCTGGCAAGTGCACGTGCCCTATAGTAAAAGCCTCTAAAAAATAAAAAAATTAAAAAAAGAATCTATAAATTGAGTATATTGTGTGCAAAGATGTCAGAAATGAGACTAATACTTAAAGCTTTATGATAGGTATTTTCTATCATCTTTCTAACTAGGGAAATATTAAACGGGCAATATAATCGAAAAAATTCCCCGGAATAGCAAAAAGGAACACTGTATGGGGGCATCTTTTACTATGAGTATATATACTTTCAGATATACAAATGATCAAAAAGAACATAAGAAGATCTCAACATTATTAGCCATTAGGAAAATGCAAATTAAAACAATGAGATGCCACTTCATACCCACTAGCATGTTTATCATACTAGCAAGGATGTGAAGAAAGTGGAACCCTCATATATTGCTAGTAGGAGTGTAAAATGGTGCGATTATTTTTGAAATCAGTAGAGCTGTCATATAAACAAGCAATTCCATTCTCTAGTTATCTACCCAAGAGAAATTGAAATATATGTCCCCACAAAAACTTGCGTAAGAATGTTCAAAGGAGCACTAATCATAACAGCCCCAAAAGGAAAACAACGTGAATAACCGTCAAGTGTTGAACAGATAAAGAAAACATAGTATATCCATCCATGTACTACAATAGAATCCAGCAATAAGAAAGAACAAACTACAGTTACATGCTACAACATGGGTGAATCTCAAAAACGTCATGCTAGGTGAAAGAAGCAGGTATAAATCAACTACAAAATGTATGATACCATTTATGTTAGACATCTGAAAAAGGCAAATCTATAGCAAGAAAACAGTTTTAGTGAATGGAAATTATACCTCAGTAAGTCTTTTAAAATGTTGCATACTGATCTTTCTCTGTTTGGACTATTTTCCTCTCATTTAACTAGTTGAGAAACTCCACTCATCCTTCAAAATGTATCTCACCTGTAAATCCCTCTGAAGCATTTCCTCAGAGTAGAATTAGTTCTACTTTGCCCCACTTCTCCACCTTAACATACCATCATTTAGTCCTCATCACATTGTGATACAATTAGTTCTCTCCCTTGCTAAAGACTCTGTGCTCCTTGTGGGAAAAGACTAATGTGTTTGACATACATTAAGCTTGGTATAATTGTTTGGTTAATGAATGAATAAATGAATGTTCAAGAAAAATCAATTTGGGGGCCAGATGGCCAAATAGGAACATCAATCATAGCATTCCTTTAGTACAAATGTCCAAATATATTGCATAGATGGCTGTATCTGGAACATAGGAGTAAGGTGAGACTGACAGATAACAAGAGCAACTTTGTGCAGTTTTGGAGGCACTTAGTCTCAACAGGAGGTGAGAAAAAAAAATAAACATCAATTTTCTGAACTCAGGAAGGAACTAGGAGTGACTGAAGCCTCCCACAATAGAGAAGAAGTGAGTAGTCTTCTGAAGCTTCCAGTTTCTGTCTTCCTACTTCCACTTCAGACCCTTGCACTTCCCAGAGGTAGGAGAGCACCAAGAAGGACATGGTCCATGAATTCATCTTGTGGAGTTGTAAGGACCTGCCACCAAAGAGAACTCTGAAGTACCCCCACCCTTGTCCCCACAATATCTCACCCCCGCCAAAATCTAGGCACATAGACCACCACCTCAGGAGCCAAAGCAGGACATTCCTTCCTGACTGACTAGCCAGAGTATACACTCCCTATCCTTCCCACTTCCCCAGAACATCAGGAGAAATTGATATCCTATATATTGCCTTCTATAGAGCACCTTCCTCAGATATTCCTGAATAATAAATGTGAGTAGAAGAGTGGGGAGAAGAATGCCTGGAAATGTCCCTTTTGGAGCCAGGAACAGTCATAGGCATTACCCTGATGACTTTCCAGCCCAGGGCCCTGGTCCTGGAAACAGGTGGAAAGCAACAAATTACACAATGTAGAAGAAAGAATCTCTGGAGGAGAGGCAAGGGAACAGGCTTTCTTAAAGACAAGTTCATGGCTCCTGAGAACTAGCCATTTCAGGGCGAACAGAGAAATGAAGATTTTCCACTGATAATTCAGCCTCAAGCACACAAACTCCGTGTGGTAGGAAGACCCCTTTCAAGCCTCCTGTCTCTGTATCTGTCTTTGTCTCTCTCTACCTTGGTCTCTGTCTCTGTCTCTGTCCTCTCATTTTTGGGGGGAAATTTTTCCTTTTAAAAATTTTTTAAGGCAAAGCTTTTTCTGGGCTTTCTGGTCCTGCCTTTCCCTTTATCTTGTTAATAACCCCCTCTCCCCCTCCCATCCCAGGAGAGGCAAGGGAATAGGCCTTCTTGAAGACAAGTTCATAGCTCCCAAGAACTAGCCATTTTTGCTTTTTAAAAGAAATTGTTTTTAAATATTAATATTTTTAGGTTTTTTTTTTTTTTAGTTTTTCTCTTAATTTTTTCTTCTCTTTTTCTCTGTTTCTTGTTTTTGTTGTTGTTGTTGTTGCTGTCATTTCTCTCTCTGTGTATCCTTTGGTACACATTCCTCGACGCTCAGATTGAACTTCAAGTTTGGGAAGAAACACACCATCCCACAGATGACTGGAAATCATTGCAGGGCCACAAGAAATATAGGAAAGCAGGAAAATACCTCTCCTCCAAGGGAAATGGATAACTCCTCTTCATCCACTGACAGTTCAATGGAAATCGTGGAAATGTCTGATAAAGAATTTAGAACATTCATTATGGCGAAGCTAACAGAGATGGAAGAGAAGAGAGTCAATGAACTGCAGAAGAGGCAGGAGAAAGGAGCTGACAAGTTCCAGGAGATGAGGAAATTCTTGCAAGATCTAAAAGAAGAATTATACACTTTACAAAAGAATCAGAGGGAACTCTTAGAGATGAAGACTATAATACAGGAAGTCAAAATCTC